CCCAAAGATTCGTGGAAAGCGTCTCTCTCTCTCTCTCTCTCCCTGGCGGCAGCTACTGTGATGAAAAGCAGCCCTCCTGCTTGCATTCCTCTGCTCCATTTTGTACCCAGAGAAGATCTGCTTTGCCAACTCCCTTAAAATACTTTGGAACAACTCCAGTTTGGAGAATGGATGCCTTTTATTCATAAACTGTACATCAGGAACACTTTGAAGTGTATATACAGGCCTTCCCAACAAAGTAATATTGCCAATAATGAGCATGATTATATTGTTCATACATGCCAACAAATCATCAGACTTTGTAGAGTGCAAATGCTAATAGTGAATTTATGGAAGATGCCATACAATCAGATTATGGTATAGGTATAGCACTTAATGTAATCTACTTTGAGATACCAGTGGTTCCCCCCCCCCCCCCCCCCAAAAAAAAAAACCCCTTTATACTGATGAATGCTGACATTGTTTTTATTCCTGGCAAATAGATTGCCTTGCCTTAAAATTATGTCCACAAGTTTATGCAGAAAATACAGCGCGGTTGTAATAAATTCCCATTTAATAGGTTATGACTGATCCATAATTAGTATGCAGAAAATGTGATGTGGAAAGATTGGGAGAATGGAGTATGTAATTGAAGTGCAGAGCTGCAAGATCTGTTGCAAAAATAGAAGCAAACTCAATTTTTTTCCATAATTAAATCTGCCCTTGAATTAGAACAGTGTGTTTGTTACTGTGAAGTTACAAAAAGACATGCTTTTTCTATAAACTGATTGTTGTGCATTTTTACCAGGCATGGAGAAGTATTGAAGTTTGCATTTTACACCTAGTATATATTGTATTATAAGTAAGATTAAAAAATTATATTGTTCAGGGAACCCAGGTAATTTTTAATTGGGGTGTGTTTATATATCTTTCTGTTTAAAATAATTGGTATTTAGAAAATAGTTCAAATACTAAAAGTTTTGCACAATCCAGACTTTGTTCTGTATTGCTCCGTTTAATATTAGACTCATACTGTTTAAAAAATTTTATGTTTCAATTCTTTAGGGAGATAAATTAATTTTAAAGAACTGAAATCAATGTGAGCATTAGAAAATAAGTGGCATCAGATTTTATTCTAATCCAGTTATTGGTACGCTAGTTAAGTGAAACACATATGTAAAATAATCAGCTGTGAATTTTGAGTACAGAGATTTTCAATCGAATAGAATGTGAATAAGTGTATTGTATCTTAAAGTTGGAAGTGGGTAATTTAAATGCTTTACTTTCTAAAACAAAGAATTTCTATTACAAACATTAACATTATTTTATTATTCAGTGACTTTCCAAATCACAGAATAAAAATATAACCTGTACAGATAGTTAGCTAAATAAACAGTGTATATAATTTTTCTAATCTTTGTGTGATCTTGTTCTCATTTTAAAAAAAGGTTTGCTTTCTTATTCTGGGCAGGTTTCGTTTTATCCAATATTCTTCAGGAAACTTTACCTTGTTAAAGCCTTTAAGATCTTAATTGCAGATATAGAAATATTCTCCACGGCATAGCTGTCTCGATTAAAACTTCTCTTTAGGTCCTTTCGAAAAGTACACGTTATATCGGCTTAACTAGTATAAAAGAAAAAAAACCTTAAAAGTTCTGTTAAAAAATTACATGGTTATTACCAGTTATTTTATGCGTATGTAGTTAAAGTGATTAAAAACAATACACAGAAGAGATACAAAAGGTTGCCAGAACATCTCAGAAATGTTGTTTTTTAAAAGATTTAGGTGGCAAATAAATATAGTTGAGCCCTTCAAGAAGAGGATACATTCAAATAAATCTGCAGCCAGGATCTGTTTTTTCAAAATGTGTTTGTTTGTCTTGAGACCTGTTGAATCTTGGCAAGATTTTGGCAGTGGGTTGCCATCATTGCCTGCTTCCTAGGGCTGAGAGAAAGTGCCTGCTATATATATATGTGTACACACACACACACACACCCTCCCCAGACAATGCTGTGGACCTGGTTCAGGCATCGCTTATCTGACACGTCCTGGATAGAAGGGAGAGACCTTCCAATCGTCCTCACCACTCTCTGCACCGCCTCCCTGTCTGAAGCAGGGACACATCCAAGCCCGACAGTAATGCAGCGCGACAGGATGCTCTCGGTCGTCCCTCCACAGAAAGTGGGAAGGGAGGGGGGGCTCTCCTCAGGCGAGGCAGAGAAGGAAGGCACCGCTGTGCCTGCTTGGCCAGGGCCTCGACGCCGTTGAGACCAGGCTAACCTGCTTGACAGCTGCGCCGCCAAAAACGTCAGACTACTAACCGCCTCCAGTTGAATTAGCAAGAACTCTTCTAAGCAATGAAGCCTCATGTCTGCATCCACAAAGCTCCCTAAAACCAGTTTGCAAACCACGTTGGGGCACCGCCTGGAATGGCTGGGATCAGAGGGCAGCTCCTAAGAAAGGAGCCGTCAAAGGTCGGTCTGGAGAAAGACGCAACCCGGCCATTGTGTCCAACCCTCTGGGCGGAAGGTTCAAAGCTCACCCTCTGCCAAGAGCAACCAATTTACTTAGCACGAAGGCTCTCAATTGCTATGGAAACCCTCTCAAGAGCTCCTGAAATTGGCCTGGATACGCCAAGAGGGAAGCAAAGGGAAGCTGCAGAACTCAATCTAAAAAAAGAAAAAAGAAAAATAAAGGGGGAGGGCAAAGTCTCCAGAGCGGTGGGATCTCAGCTGACCTTGCAAGGAAAGCAGTGAAGGAACCCTCCAAACTGACCCCGTTCTCCGAAAGCCACTCCAGAAGAGCTGCAGGGATGTTTCGGCCCAAACCAAAGCAGCATCTTTCCTTAAAACGGATGCAGTCGCTCAGAAGCTTCAGGGACTACCTAACCTGAGGTACAGGCAAACACAACGGGGACTGGCCACACAGTCGGTTAAGTGAAGCAATCACAAAGACTCCGGCCTTTAAGTCAAGTGTGGGTGTACCCAACCAGAGGCAGGTGAAGCTGGGGACTGGGCTGCAGAGGGAGGCCAGGTCTCTGGGATGAGCCCACCTCCTGCCCAGGAAGGGGGCTGGTTGGCACGGCCCTTTCCGAGCCAGTCCCCGAGCCCCGTCTCTTCACGCAGAGCCAGATGATGGGGATGTCCCGATGGTGCCAATCCTGATTAAACCCTCCCACACAATGAGCTTAGGACCATGCAACGGCCCCGCTGAGGCCTTCATACCGAAGGGCAATTAGGATTTTAGCATTTGTAATGGACACCCAGTAGGGTGATTGAAATATAATGAAGGCTGCTGAAGGCTGCTGTTGCTTCCAAAGGTACAGAAGGGATAAATGAGGAAGACAAGCAGAAAAAGCTACAACAGGCAGTTCTGTTTATTTAAAAAAAAAAACCCCATCTGTGTTCAGAAATGACCGTGGGAGGTTTGCAAGCTGGGTATTTCCAGGGCAATTCCCAGTTGCCTTAGGGGTGCACTTTGCCAGGGGACATAGGATGATCCACTGTCCTTGACTTGGTGCTTTTCACCTACAGCAGGCGTCTCCAAACGAACAGAAGAACAGAAAAGGGTACAAGGGCCAGGTCACCAAGGATGCCTGCAGACAGCTGAGAACCGTCAATCCGGTGACAGGAAATAAAAACTCAAAATGAATTGAGGCCAGGAAGCCAAGGAGGCCAAGAACATCCCAGAGTCCCCCCAGCCCCTTCAGAAGGAGACCCACCACTCCTTGGGGAAGGCAATCGTGCTTAGGGCTCCCAAGGCAGAGGCAGCGCTTCTGAAGCCCTGCCCTGCCCCCCTCGCCTCTAGCCAGCCACCCTGCAACTCCCCCAGGGGGCGGCCAAAAGCAGGAGGAATCTCCCTCCAAATTGAATGAGTTGCATCCTGGGACGACCTCAGGCTGAGTCAGGGAGAGTCCTGCAGGCCTGGCAAGTGCCCGGAGACAGAAGGCGGGGGGAGGACATCTTTCTGCAAAAAGGGACAAAGGAAGATTCCCCCAAACTAACATATAAACCAGGATTAACATCTGAAACTTGGAAGGTTCTGGAGCAGACCTTCAAGCGGAGCCAGGCGGTTCCTGCCAGGTGGCATGGATCCCTCAAGGGCAACTCTGCCCACCTCCATCTTTCACCATCTGGAGCAGCTCCCTTAGTCGATGCCCTCCTCGGACACCGCGGGACACCAGGGCTTGGGACCAGGATCCCCTCCCTGCTGGCATGAAAGAGGGGCTGCTAGGCCCTCCAACCAGCCCTGCCCCCCCCAACCCTCCCCCCCTCCTGCCTTGAGCCTCGTTTCTGGGCCCCATCCTGGGGGGAGGCGGAGGGGCGCCCTTCCAGGAGGGGGAAGCCCAGAACTTTCCAGAATGCAGCTGGTTCTGCTCTTCTCAACTGGCCAGCCAGGAAGGAGCCGTTGCCCAAGGGAAGCCTCGCCTCGCCCTCCTCTTCCTCGCCAGGAAGAAGATTGCAACAGGGGCACCGCCCGGCCCTTTCCGGACTCCGAAGCCTCAGAAGCGACACCGGGGCTCCCTTTGCAGGAGGCCGCTCGGGATCATGGCCGGTTTTTTTGCCCGGGAACCGAGGTTCAGGCTGCGGGACGCCGCTTCCCCTCCCCCCGGAGGAAAGACCTTCCCCGCCGTCCGTAACGCGCATTCACACGACACGCGAGGTTTCTCCTCGGGCTTCGTGACGTCAGCGCAGCCTCTGTCCCCGGCCTCATTTGCATAGCTCCTCCCGGCGCCCAATCCCGCGACGCGCCCTGCTTTGCATACGCGAGCCGGGCCAATCAGCGAGCGAGGGGCCGGGCCACCACGTGCTGTTGCTAAGCTTCGGCTTCGGGGTTGTTGCTATAGCGGCCGGCCTATCAGCGCCCGCGACGCCCGGGACCTCCACGCTCGTCCGCCTCCGCGGGCGGGCCCGGCGCCCCCCCCGAGTGGCGATTGGCTGCTCGGCGGCCCCGCCTTCGGCGACTGGCGGGCGGGCCTGTCCGTCGAGCGAGCGACCTGCCAACCGGGGCGGGAGGCGGCGCGCCCGTGGCCCGAGCCCGTCGAGGTGGCGGCGGCGGCGGCGGCTGAGGCGATGGAGTGGAACTCGCTGCTGATGCTGCTGGAGGCCGCCGAGTACCTGGAGCGGCGGGAGAGGGGTGCGCGGGGCGGGGGGAGAGCGGGAGGGCCGGGGGGGCGGGAGGGCTCCGGGCCTCTCTGACGCGGCGCTTTCTCCCCGCAGAGGCCGAGCACGGCTACGCCTCCGCGCTGCCCTTCGAGCGGGCCTGTGCCCGGAGGAGGAGCGCCGCCAGGAAGGCCCCCGGCAGCCGGTGAGTGGCCCTGCGGGGGAAGGGGAAGGAAGGGGGGGGCGCCGCCGACGCCGCCATCTTCTCCTCCGCGGGGCTCCCTCCCAGCGCCGCCGCCGCCGCCGCCACGTCGCCCGGCCCCGTCCGGCCCAAGGCCCAGGGGAGGGAGGCTGGGCGGCTGCCCCGGAGGCCTCCCGGGCTGAGAGCGGCGGGGCAGGCCCTGGGGAGGAGCGGACTTCAACTCCCAGAATGCCCCGGACGGAGAGGGGGGGGGGCCCGGGGGGGGGGCGGGGGGGGGGGGCCGGGGGGGGGGGGCCGGGGGCCCCAAGGGGGGGCCCCCCCCCCCCCCCCGCCGCCTCCCTCCTCGCCCCAGAAGCCTCGCCGGGCTGAGCGCTGCGGGGAGGGGCGAGTGGGGCTGCCCCCCTTCCTGGCCCGGCCCGGAGGAGGGGGAATGGTCCCGCCAAGGCCGGCCTTGCCTGGGTTGGCCTCCCCTCCCTTCTCTGCCCCCCCCCCCGGTGGGCCCGCCGAGGGGGCCCCCGGGCCCCCCCCCCCCCGGGCCTGGCTTTGGCCCCTGGAGCTCAGGCCCCTTTCCCTCTGCCCGGGGGAGGTTGGGGCAGGGGCCCCGCCAGGCGCAGCAGCAGCGCCCGGAGCCAGGCAGGTATTGCGGGATCCCGGGTGGGGGGGGTGTGTGGATGTTGCAAGGCGGAGCTTTCGCTGGAGGGGCCGCCCTCACGGTTGGGCCAAGAGGCAGGAAGCAGAGCCGGCCCTGGCCGACCAGAGGGCAAAAAAAACCCCCTTCCAAACTGACCTGAAGAAGCCGATGATGCCTCTGTTGGGATGCTGGGCCAGCTGAGGACACGGGAACGCCAGCCGGGGGGGGGGGGGGGGGCGGCCCTGTCCCGCTGCGTGTGTCTTGTCATAGGTCTGTGGCCCTTGTGGTGACTGCCCTGGATTGAACGTAGGCCTGCCCTGAAGTAGATCTGGAGAGCTCAAGGATCCCTCACTCAGTTCTCCCTCTTGTTCTGGCAACAGTGATGGGTTGCTTAACTGCGCTGGATGAAAGGCGGTGTGTCGAAGCCAGGAATCCCGCAGGGTGTGAAGCCAGAGTTTTATCTACAGCTGCTGTGGAGGAGAAGCGTTGCAGCCCCCCCGTCCCCCCCCCCCCCTGAGAGGCCTTGTGGGCAGCGGAGTACCGTCTTCCACGGGGCCCAGGCGGGGCAACCCCCTGGGCATACTACATTGAGCCCACCATTAGCCCTGCATATGCGCTGCAATCGCCACCTGAGAAATAATAGGCATTTTATTTTAAATTTCTGGCCACGGGATTAAGCCACCAGCCTTTAACCCACGGTGGCATTTTTCCCTTTGGCTCCATCTGTTATTTGGTGCCGGCCTGTGAAATCGTGGCTCTTCCCTGCCAAGTGGTGGGTCGGCCGCACTCTCCCAGCGTTGAACGTGTGCGGTGTTGTTGCAGCCCAGCAGTAATTACCCTCTCATTCCTGGGGATATTTTTTTCTCACCTAGATTCCCAAAGGAGGGAAGGATGAGGTAATTCGGTTTATTCTGAAGGGCCCGTGAGATGGCTTCCTTCCTCGGGATAGGGCGAGAGTGTCCTAGAAGGTTTGCTGTTTAGCTTTAACTTCTTCAGTCAGCAAGAGGAAAAACATGCCTGCTAAGGGAATTGTTTCCTGCCCTGGTCCAAGTTCATGTAACCTTCGGTTAGTCCTGTGACTGAGCTTTCCGTCGTGTCTCCACAACCAAAGTTCAGTTTGAGATACTACAGAAATTTAACCTGATTCAGGGTTGATCTTAAAACTGGGTTAAACCTGAGGAAGACAAAGAAACTCTGTTCTTTGTGTACTGAGATGTGCCCAAGTTCTTTAAAAACAGTTCCTATTAGGAACTTTTAAAACAAATGTTTCTATTTGTGTTAATACATAATCTAAAGTATTATGAGTTAATACATAATGTTCTAAAATATCATATTCTCTGTTTTTCATAGATCCTCACATAATGAATTAGAAAAACATAGGTAAGTAATAATTAACAGACTTGATAGAGGTATTAATATACAGAGATGGTGATTCAAATGTGGTATTGATAATTACTTATTTGCACATTGACAATAAACACAAGCTTTCAATTATTAACATCAGTGTTCATAATTTATGCAAGTTTTACTCATTTGCGTATTTATACATACCATTTTTACGGAGGTAATTTTACACCTACATATTTCATCAGGAGTTTGCAGCAAATTTGGAAGGTTTTAGGAATTCGTTTTAAACAGTTATATTAAAACTCTTGAATGACTTATATTTTGATTCCAAATAAAATTCTGCTTAATAAATTCTAATTTCATTTTAAGGAATTGTAACTGCTTATGGACACATGACTCTTCTGGAAATAGGATTCAGTGAATTTAAGCAATTTAAAAATAATTAAGCACACCATTAAGCTAGAAGAGAAAAATGAAAGCAACTTCCCATTCCTAGGAAGTTAAAAGAAGAATTTGGTGGTCTGCCAAGTTTAACAATAATAATACGACCCCTTGAAAGAGTGGAACGGGGTGTCGGAGTTTTGGTGGCTGCTGCTGAAGACTTGGAGAATTCATTAAAAAAGAAAAACTCATTTTGGCAGGAATAATAAGCTGACTAAGAGGTGGTAGGTTCAGCTCTTGGGCCATGCAACACAAAGACGTTCGTTTTAATAATGAATATATGCTAAATTGTATTAAAATTCAGGGGTGCTGATTTACCACCAGCTTACGAAGTACTTAGGAGGCGAGGGCCAACGGCACGACCGGCCATCCACACACCCCAAGCAACCTCCACACACAACCAGGCGCCACCCACAGAATAGCCCAAAGCCCAGGCAGAGTTCCCAGAGGATGGGCTCCAGCATGGGTCCAAAAGCTCGGAAGACTAACCCTCTGGGGCCAGTGGCCGACCCCACCTTGGGGCCTGTATTAAAATTTAGCATGTATGGACGTACGTACCGGTGTACGTATGTATGTATGTACGTATATGTTTGGGAACATTTGTAGTGCTTGTTAGCTGCCCAGCATCATTTGGCAAGTGGGTGGCCGTGTAAGTTTAGTAAATAAAATGACTAAAGAAGATCTTGCAGAATGTCAGTTTTCACAGGCTGAGAGCATGGATTAAACTCTGTTTTCCAAACGCCCCTTGCTTGGTTCCATTTCCAAGTAGTGGCTGCTTTTTGCCCACACAGTGAGACATTTTAAATGCCTCTTTTTCTTGGAAGATGCTCGAGGGAAAAGGATGAAGTAATCCTTTCCTTTAGGCAGATTAGCAGTCACAACGTCATCACTTACTCTTCATTAGAAGGCGCAATTAACTAAGGAAGCTATTGAGAAATGTGTATATTACAGATTTGAAAGAATTATTCTAATTTGGTTTCTGGTACCACATTTAAAGATTTGTCTTTGGGGATCCCCTGGTGAAGCAGACCCCAGACCCCCATCTACCTGCTGCTCCCTGTAAATCCCCCTGTTGTTGGTGTTGTTGAAAAGAAAGGGAAGAGAAGCCCCTTTCCTTGAGTCAGGACTGCCTCCCTGGGGACGGCATTCCAGGGTGTGGTGCTCTGGAGCAGGCGAGGGGTGAATGGTCACGGGGCCTTGCAACTGCCAACGCAGCAGCAGCAGAATGGCTTTCCAGGGAGGCAGGGCAGCCACCCAGTCCTGAGAAAAGAGACAGGAGCTGCCTCCAGGAGCCTCCCGACTTGGGAAGCAGGTCTGAAGCCCACCAGCCCTGGGAGGGGGAGCGGCATGGGCAGACACCCCCCCCCCCGAGGGAAGGTCAAGGAGGCAGCAGCCATTCTCTTCCAGAGAAATGTATACTTCCGGCTACCAAAACAACGGATTCTCTCTTAGTGACCGACCGCTGGGCCTAGAAAGGCACCTGGCCTTTTCTGCATTGTTATTAAACTCACCAGACCAGTCACTGGCCTTAACACCCAGGGAGTTTTATCTTGGGTGGCAATTTTTATATCTGTTCACCACAAAACTCCAAGATATACCGATGAACGTAAAAGTCAAGTTTCACAATCTTTCAATCACGCGAATATTTGTACACTAGACTCTGGTTAGTTGCTTCATTTCGTTTAACATGAATGGAGCTTAAAGAACAGGCAGACTGAGGTGGAAGGAATGGCTTTTCCGGTTTTTCCAATAACTTGGTCTCAGGTTTTTAAAAGCTCTGATTAAGCCCGTTTGAATGTACCCAGATAGCAGCCTGGAAGGCTTCCCTGTTTGCAAGCTGAGCCAGGGGAAGATTTGAGGGACCCCAAGTGATACTTTTAAGGAGACAGCCTGGAAGAGGGAGCCCCTGTCTCAGCTGGGGCAATGCTGATGGATTCCTGCCTTCTTATTGTTGATCTAAATGGCAAATTCATTCTCCTTCCTCCAAATGGAAAACTGATGGGGCGAATTGGGTGAATGAGAATGGCAAAGACAGTTCAGTCTGCAAAAAATCCCCATAGCTCAGTGGAAAATACCGGTTCCGTCAGTGAGGAAAGAAAATTTCCATTAGGAAGAGCCTGAATGAATTAATACAAAGTTTATGATAAAGTACTTTGCATAATTTCAATCCACCGTGGCACACCTCAGCTGTCCTTCGTAGATCTTGGAAAGCTGTGGAACAGCATAGTCAAAAACTATCAGAAAGCTAAAGGTTTGCATGGGCAGATTTGGCCTGGAAATGGAGGGAAGCAAGTGGGAGATTTAATAGAAAGGTTGGAGATCACGTTATTTTCATTTTTCTCTGCCTCAAAGAGAATATTGCTAAACATCAGAAAAGGGAGGATAAAGAAAAAGGAGGTGCTTTGTGTGTCAGTAATTAAAATTATTGAATGAGTTACTCGATATTGCTAGGGCATCGTTTAGCTTTAAGAGCATGTTGGAAAACAGAAATAGCAGGTCACTTCCAAGAAACCTGCAGGAATCCCCTCCCCAGGAATCCCGCTTGGCCCAGGGCCTCTTCCATTGTTGCCTTTGCCTTTCCATTGTCTCAACAAACCGTGTCCCGATGCCACTCTGTAGTCATGCAGTTTGCGTGGATTGGTACACTGCGCGTGTGAACATATTTGGTGATTCCAACATGTAGGGTTTGTTTCGTGTTCCTTTCGTTCCCTGTCGACACGTTGCCTCCAATATCGGAGGGGGTCCCTTGTATAGGTAGGAGCTGTGAGGCATAAATGCCAGGGGAACGGGCTTCCTTCATTGCCAGTCAACCCTGTGTGGGAAGGAGGGCAGATTTTGAGGGCCAGGGACACTAAAGCAGACTCCTCCTCGTTTCTGTCCGTTTCAGGAGAGCGAAGCTCCGGCTCTATCTAGAGGAGCTGAAGCAGCTGGTCCCTCTAGGCGCCGAGAGCACCAGGCACACCACCCTCAGCCTGCTGAGAAGAGCCAAGATGCATATTAAGGTAAGCCAGGAAGAAGCTGCCTTGGTTTTAGCCTTCGCCTAAAGGGTGGTGGAAAGGCTGCTCTGTAGCCTTCTGAGCCACCGGCTTAGCGTCCCAGGAGTCGGGGCACCTACAACCACAGTGGGATGGGATGTGGTTTTATTCATTATCTCTACACATTTCCCTCTTTTTGGGGGGGTCCAGGAGAAATGGCGAATGTGGCACGCTTACAGGAGTGCGTGTAAGGAAAGGAAACTCCCAGCCACGACTCCTGCCTTCCTTTATTTCTTCGGATCATTTCAGACTTTGACTCAAATTTAAAAAAAATCCCTGAAATAACTCAGAAATCGCACGGTCTCACATATAAACCCCGTCCTGGAGTTATTTAACTTCCCAGTTCCCCCAGATTCCCTGGAGGCTTTAGGCTACAACCTGAGCCCACGCCCTACTCTGTGGTCCCAGGAGCTGATGCTTCTGCTGCTCCGCCCCAGGCAACCCTCGGAGGGGCTTTCTGGAGCATCCTGCGCTTTACCTCCAGCGGGCTACCCGGGGGGGGGGGTAGTGGGCGCCCACCGCTTGGGATAGGTCCCATGGGGAGACGTCCCGTTTTAAAGTCTGCACGGTTTTGCTTTCCATAGGCACAAGCGCGCATTTCCACAGGGAGGCGTCTAGGGAGGGGCCTTGATACCTAAGAAACAGACCTCACCCCCACCCCCTTCTCCTTCTTCTTTTCGCTTAACACAACCTGCCAGCCAGGTGTGTTGGTGGCTTATTTTAAGGGGTCCTAAAAACCCTGGATTCCCAGCTGGAGGTGAACTCAACCCACAATCCCCTGCTCCGTGTCTGAATGGCACGTAACCAGACCCGGAGGGGAGGGAGGCTCCCTGGAGGTTTACCTTAGGGGGGGAGGGAGGGGAGGCCGAAAGAGGGAGGGGGGGTGAAGGGCCCCTTTTTCTCCTCCTCCAGTGCAGATGGGTTTATGTGGACCTGGCAGCAGAGGCCGTGGGGGGGGGGGGGCTCAGGCGCCCCGTGCCATGGATGAAACGGCCACTTTAACTAGTAGGAAAGGGCTTGCTCTTATTTGCCGTCTCAACTTACCCGCATCAAGTTCTTTGCGACACCCGCTTTGTCCTCCACTCAATGCTTTCCCATTCTTGGTGACTCCCTCTTGGAGAACGGTGAGGCCAGGAGCCTCTGAAGCTGGGGTTCTTCCAGGTGTCCTTTGAGCCCTCCTGCTTGACAGGCTGCCCGCCCTTGTCGCCTGCAGCCTCATGTGTGCCTGGACCCACCAAGCAGGGTTGCTGGGGAAAGAGAGCCTTTTGCGGGAGGAAGAAGGTTAGCGGGGATCGTTTCCCCCCTTGTTGTTGTTAGCAGCAGCAGCAGCAGCAGGGATTCGGCTCATTTCTGTCGAAATAGTCGGGGGGGGGGGGGGGCGAGCACGCGGGGGGCCCCCCCTTCCCCCCCTCCCCCCCCCCCCCCCCCAACCACCATCCTGATTGGCGGCTGCTGGGAAAAGTCTTCAGCTTCCGGGCCTCCCACCCTTTGCCAGGAAGGTTGCAGCTGCCATGTCACTAACGCAGGGAAGGGACCGTCGTGGCCTGGCCAGGGCAGCCAGGTCCCCCAGGACGCCCCTCCTCTGCCGCCCAGGGGCTGGCCGGACGTGGGGAGAAGGGGGCGGTTTCCCTTGTTAAGCGGACGGGTTTTCGTTGCTTTGGCTCCGTAGAAATTGGAAGAGCAGGACCGGAAAGCTCTGAACATCAAAGAACAATTGCAGCGAGAACACCGGTACCTCAAGCGCCGGCTGGAGCAGCTCTCCGTGCAGGGCCTGGAGCGGGTGCGCACAGACAGCCTCGGATCCACCATATCCACGGATTCGGAGCAAGGTGGGTGGTTCGAATTCTGCAGCCTCCCCTCTGAAGGCCCCACCCCACCCTTGAAATGGCCAGGGGGGGGGGGACCGAGCGTGCAGCAGCAGCAGCAGCAGAGGCCTTGAGGCCCTTCGGGGCTTTGAAACTTCCTTCTGAAAAAGGAGATTTCGGTAGCAACTTGTGATGGGCTGGAAAACAAATTTAATAAGCACTTAGGGAGAAAAAAGTGGCTGCTGCGGAGAAGAAGGAAGCCTGAACGCCAGCGTCAAGATTCAGCATCTCTTTCTTTTTTTTCTTTTTGCAAAACAAATCACAGCTCAGGCTGCAACAATTAGAGGGTTAACGTTGGACGCTGTCCCAGGACCTCCTGGGCTGAGGGTTGCCTTGTTGCTATTACTGCCCCCAATGAATTTCACTGGACTTTTTACTTTGGGTTACTAAAAGTAATAGTTAGTCTGAGACTCTCAAGTTACCTTTTCAATGTATTTATTGCAAGCGGACACCTTTTTGCCCAAACATCCTAACCCAGGAAGGTGCAACCTTGGCAACTTTGAGACTTCTGGACTTCCGTTCCCAGAATTGCCCAGTCAGCCATTGGGGCCTGGGGAATTGTGGGGGTTGAAGTCCAGAAGCCTCAAAGGGGCCAAAGTAGGAGAGCTCATCGGAGGAACAGTTTCTGCCGCTACCCAAAAAATGCCCTCCCTCACTTGCAGACTGGCCAGCGGGTGGATTCCAGGCCAAGGTATACGTGGCCCATAAACAAATAAATCCTCCAGAACTTCCCATCTGCCTCTGCATTAATTTGAACATTGGAAGCCAGTAATACGTTTTTTTGTTTTTTTTTAAAAATGCAAAATATAGGAAGAACCGAAAGAGAAACTAGGAATGAATTGCCCCCTAAAACAAGGGAATGTTCCCAAACCACAAGGGGGGGGGGGGGGGGGGGGGGGGGGTTGGGGGTTGGATGATGGTGAGCAGATTCAGCTCTGAAACGATGTCTTAAGTACCGACAGTCCTCGACTTACAACAGTTCACTTAGTGGCCATTCAAAATTACAACCGCACCGAAAAAGGGGGACTTGTGGCTGTTTTTCACACTTTCCAGCATCCCCTTCATGATCAGGGGATCGAAATTCGGAGCTGTGGCAACTGGCTCCGAGCTATGACCGTGGCCATGTCCCAAGGCCACGTGGTGCCCTTTTGCGCGCACCTGAGGAAACCCCTGGGGAAGCCAGGTTCACTTAACAACCGGGCTAACCATTTATCAGTTGCAATGATTCACTTAGCAACTGAGGCCAAATTCACCTCCCCAATGTCTCCCTCGGAATTGCCGTAAGTGGAGGCTCCCCGCCCTGCTTGTGGTCTGCGGGCAAAGCGTCCGGCTGATGCAGGGCGTGAGACTTCTCCTCTCTTCCCCCACAGAGGTGGACATTGAAGGCCTGGAGTTCACCCCGGCCGAAACGGACAGCAGCGGAAGCGCCAGCGAGGCCGAGGACAGCTTGCGAGGCAGCTCGAGCGACAGCGGCTACGCCCGGCCCCACAGACGCAGCAGCACCGCCCGGCTCCTGTAGCCTCGGCCGCCCGGATCCCCTCCTGGGAGCCTTCCCTCTGGGGCCGCCAACCTGCCCCCCCCTTCAGAAAGCGGCCCTGGGCAAGAGGCCTCTGCCCTCCCCCCACCCCCCCTCCGGGGCTCCCTGGGCTGCGGATAAACACCGCGGTAGGAATCATGGCTTTGGGGCTCCCCCCCCCCGCCCCGCAGATTAGATGGCGCCTGGGGTTAAAAAGCCTCTTCACGGATTGGATTGGAGGGGGGGCGGCTTTCCTGACCTCCCCCAGGAGTTCAGAAGTTCCGCTTTGAATAAATGACTTGGACCCATTTTGACAGGTTGTCCTAGGTGTTGAAAGGCGGAGGGCCTCAGCCGGCAGCCGCTCAGAAATCCGTGTAACGTTTAAAAGGTGGGCCTGGGCACCTCCAGGCTTCCATCTCGGCCGGTGTCACTCACCCAAACTGCCAAAAGGCCCCCCTCTGTGTGTGTGTGTGTCTGTCTGTCTGTCGTCTCCCTCGCAGCTTCTTTGGATTCTGTGGAAAGGAAAAGATGGAAGCTTTGAAAGCAGACGGCCGTTTTCGAAGGAAAAAAGCAGAAACCGCCCCAGTTTGTAAAGACGGCTGCGTTGGGCTCGTTTTGAGAGGGGGAGCCTGGTGGCCCTTTCAGGGGAGGAGAAGCGGAGGGAGGGGGGGAGCCCCATGAATCAGGTTCCCTGCGGGGACAGCCCCCCCCCTCTTTCCTGGCAGCTCAGGCTGGCTGTTCCAGCAGGGTCCTCCCGGGGGCTTCAGTAGGGCGGGCGGGCGGGCAGGAGGGGCTTCCGATACCCAGAGACCCCCAGGGCCTCTCCCCCCCCCCGGAGGCTCTTAGCAGTAGGGCTGCCCCGGAGGGTCTCCGGCATTGGTCCTGGCGCCAGCCGCCCTGCCCGTCTCCTCTGAGTTTCCAGGTTCCCCTTCCTGGATCTGGCTCCCTTCTGCGCATTTCCCGGCGAGAGGGGAGCCAGGCAGGCCAGGCAGGTGCGCCCCTTGGCCCGGCTCAGGTGTGACATCCATGGCTGCCTTTGATCAAGGACCCCCCACCCCCCCGATTGTCTCCTCTTGCAGGCAGGGACTGTGAAATGAGCTTCTGGAGCTCTTGGTCCCTGGGACTGGACCGCAGGGGGTCCTCCACTCCCAACTGCAATGGGATCACCCTGATTTTGCAACCCTTTTTGTGACGGCCGCCACGGTCGTTAGAAGTGGCGGTTCAGTGAAGCAGCGCTTCCCCCCCCAAAGAAGACCAACCAGAAGAAGTCGGTGCTTCTCTTGGACAAAGCTGTCCTAAGACGGAGGTCATCAGGTGACCCCACGGGAGGCGTAAACGCCACTGTGTTGCCCAGCACCCCAAATTCGGTCATGTGACTGCAAAGGGGGGGCACCCTTGGAAGTTAAAGTCTGGGTCTCAAGCAGCCCCAAGGCGGGTCCATCGCTGTGACCGCACGGTTGCCAAGCGACCATCCGTCCGTCCGTCCGAAGGCTCTGCATTCAGTACTCCGGGACTTTTATTGGCAGGTTCTGAGTCTCCCCGTGGCCCCCGGGGAGTGTGTGTGTGTGTGTGTGTGTGTGTGTGATTAAAGCAGCCCGGTTTGTGTCTTTTCTCTATGTGGAGTTGCCAATAAACTGAAAGGAAAGTTTAGCTTTAAATTTCAGTATTGATACTGTGATTTCTAGGCTATACTGGCAGTTTTCAAAATAACAAAATGCTCTTAAGATTGCCTCATTCATTTAGCATTCATCAAGCTTTTTAGGGTGCAGTTACTCCACTTGTAGCAATATTGCAGAGTTGTAATTGAAAACAGTTTAAGCTTAGTGAAGTAATTAGTCTGGCTTGCTGATAATTAAAAATGGACCAATCTTTGCATTGAAAAAGGTCTTTTTTTAAGAAAAAAAGTGATAAAAAGCTATATACTCTCTAGCCAACTGGTTTATTTCCTATAGGTATATTTCCTATAAAATAGTCTGTATTGTATTTTCCTAATTCTTCTGAACTACTTAAGTAGAGAAAGGACATACTGAACCCAACCGGAGTCTCAGGGACTCTTCATGTTTGATCATATTGTGCCTTCTGAACTTCCTTCCTTCCTTCCTTCCTTCCTTCCTTCCTTCCTTCCTTCCTTCCTTCCTTCCTTCCATCCGTCCCAATTCTCGAGGGTGTCATTTTGCCTCAGATTGAACACTGAGCTTATTTTACCTTTCCACAAACGGGGAAAGAAACCCCCCCCCCCCCGGGGCCCCCCCCCCCCCCCCCGCCAGTGAAACACGTAATCCTTGTGCCTCTTTGGGAACTGGGCCGTGAGCAGCCCCCCCCCCCCCCCCACTTGGTGCCCTTCCGAGACAGGCGTGTCCAGCCAGTCCTAGCGGTTGAGGCGGCCGGCTCCCCCTTCAGAGGCTGCCCAGGGGACCAAGCCCTCCAGGGAGAGGGGCCCTGGCAGGCCAGGAGGCTGGACTCTGGCCTTGCTCTTGAGCCGGGGCAGCAGGTTGCAGGATCCAATCAGTGCCTTTGGCTACTCCAATCCAAAACTACAATGATGTGCTTTTCGGCATTGAAGACTTTTAAATCTGAAACAAAAGTAGAGCCTGCTAGGATGGATGAACTTCACCTTTTGTTGGTTTCTTTATGTTCAGTTATACTTGGTTTTCCCTTTGGTGCTACAAGTCAGAAAATTAGGAATTCAGTTCTGGCAGCTCAAGACTCTCCCGATTTGCTTCTGAGGACCTCGGATTTGTCCTCAAGAATATCGTGGATTAAATTACCTTTTTGTAGCCATCCCTCCTTTATCCGTGAGGTTATTTCTGGCAGCTGCATTTCAGATGAATAAAATCTGTTACCTAACTTTGCTATTATTTAGCATTATTAGTATGCTAGACACACTTTGTATGTTTCTAAAGCCCCCCTGGGAAGGGTACACAGCAATATAAGGATTGTGTGTGGCTGATACGGCAGCGTTAATTACTAATTCCTTTTGATTATTTTTGTTCCAATTTCCAAATCTGCTTTTTCTTCTAGAGGCTTCAATAACCGTTGATGGGGAAAATTGCTAGTAATGTTAGTTTCCTCTTACAATATAATGAATTTACTCATGGCTTTTAGAACGTTTGTTTCATGAAAAGCAATTCTTGCACAGAACTTTCCTACCGGAAAAAAAAAAAGACATATGGGAGAATGGAAAAGAGACTTTGTGAAAAACACCATTGACCTTCTGCCATTCTGATGTTTTTAAAAACATGTTTAACGAACTCTTCCATGCTGAGTATCAGTGGCTTTGTAGAACTTTTATATTTTCAATAAAGGTTATTCAATATTCTGAGCTGAAAAGTGCCGGCGGTTCCTTGTTTCCACCTAGTCGCGGCTGCTGTGGCTGGTGCGTGAAGGCTCCGGTGGCCCCGGTGGCAACGTTAACGCATCACCCCCCCCCAAGAGCAGACCCTTCCTTCCATGCTGCAGGCCGGGGGGGGGGATTGGGAAGAGGGGGGGGGCAAGCTCCTTGCCTGCATTCAGAATGGTCTGCTGGATCCTTTGAGCAAATCAACCTTTCTTTTAAAAAAGACCCAAGAAATTGGATTCCCACGGTCAGGGCCAAAGCCTGCGATATCAGAGGCCCAGCGCTGGACCTTTGCTGGAGCTGTGATGCAGTGGGAGGCATGGGGGGGGGATTATTGCCACCATCAGTGATGCCCCTCCACTGACCTCAGGAAGACCAGACCAGCCGGGCCATCGGTGGGCCCAGGGAGGCTCCCGAGAGGAGCTGGCCGCTTCCCTGAAGGATCTGCTGGCGGGTGGGGTCCCATTGCGGCCTGCAGGGAGTGCTTGGCTGGGCCTATGGGTCCCGTTGCTCCTCTCCCTCTGGGCTGGTCCTAAGGTGGCCCTTGGCTTAGGGAGGCTTCCAGGAGGTGGGCGTGCCGGGGGGAGACGGACTTGGAGCCCCCCCCCACCGGCCCCAGTAGGGAGGACTGGAGGGAGGGAGTCTGACCACCACCCTTTGAGCCGTGGCCTGGGGCCCGTAAGGGCAGCGAAACCTCCCTGTGCCCTCACGGCCTCTGCTGACCGTTGTCCAGTGTCCCCGGTCAGAGTGGCCCCGTCTCCACGGGGAAGGGAGGGCGCCTGGGAGTCTGTTGGGGCACCTGGTGGATAAAGTCACTTGGATTAGCAAGGAACAATTTTGGTCACACTGGTCCAAATCTTCTTGGAGGCATCAACCAGGGGGTGATGGGCTTCCCTCCAGAAGGTGTTGGGGTTCTATCCCTGGACGGCCCTTTGTCTGGAAGGGTTATAGGGGCCCCTGCCTGAGCGGGGGGCTGGACTAGAGGACCTCTGAGGTCCCTTGCAGCTCTCTTCGGATTGATTGCTTGGCTCCAGCCTAGAGTCCAACTGGTGACCAGGACACGGTCTGGAGGCGGCTCCTGGGTCAGCTCAGCCACCTGGTCCTTGGGTCTAGGCCTCCAGTACGGCCGCTTCATCGGTTTCTGTTAAGGGGTTTAATCAAACGATAAACAACAACTAAGGTAACTTTTTTTAGAAATGAAGGTGGGGGGGGGGAGAAGAAAACAGGAAAAGCCAGAGGTGGATGCATGTGGCGTCTGAAACCACCCAAACAATTCAGCGCAATGTGTACATTCCTAGCGCAGGAGGTGCCTTTCGAGGACCATTTGATCCCCGGTGCCCAGAATAGCATTTCCTCACAAGTTGACTTTGGGAGGTGGGAATAAAATCTTCACAGCCACACTTGTTAAAAGTAAGGCCACGTGTAACGGTCCCTTAACTAAAGCTGAACATAGTTATAAATAATAGAGAAATGAATGCAGGGCATTAAAATTTGGAAAGCAAAGAAGCTATATTTAAGATTAAGGGTAAACTATAACATTAGAAGACTTCTGGTTATCTTCTTTGCTTTCCCCTCATTGATAATTGTTATGATTATCGCTATTCTGTTGCTTTGCAGGTGCCCCGAGAGCTCCTGCCCCAGACACACATTTTAACCTCCTGAGGCTAATCCTAGGAGCCACTAGAGGAGAGAGAGACTCCGGTCTGCATTTCCTCCTAGTAGTTTGTGCCCTTTCTACTTCAGCCTTGCCATATTTGGGAAGGATACCTTAAGACCTGGGCTTATCACGAGGGGGGGGAGGAGGAGGAGGGAAAAAAGGGTAGGAAGGAAGGTACCAGGGAGCTGAGAAGGAGTGAAAGCTGCGGTTGGGTGATGAGTTGATGAGTTTCTCCGAAAGGAAGGGGAGACATTTATGGGGACAAAGCAAAGATCTGGGATCCTGGATGGAGACGTGGAAGAAGGGCTAGAAAAAAAATCAGAAAGTCACGGTAACCAAACGGTGTAAGATTTCCCTTTTTTCTCCCCTAAGTCCTTTTGCTCGCTAATCCTTGCCGCCCTCTCCCCTTTTTGGGGGGGGCCCTTTCCAGAGCCTCGTTTGCCCTGAACGGGAATAGCATCTCAACCAAGTCCTTTCCCAGGTGGGGTAAAGGACAAATGAATGCAAGGAAAAGTGAGAGACGGCCCTCAGGTGTGACTCTTGCACTGGGGTTCTCACATGAAGTGTGATCCGAAACGATGCTGTCGCGTTTGTTCTGAAATCGCAATGCTTTCGTGAATGCCAGCCCAGGGCTTCCCGAGGAACCATGAGCCCTTCATGAGCTGGCTCTTTCTGCTGAATTTTATTTCCCTGAATAAATTATCTGGGATTCAGAGGCTGCGGATCACACCTGAGTCCAGTCGAGAGGAATAAAACTGCAGCGGAAATTCAGGGAATGGCCGGGGGAAGAGGAGGTGGCTGGAAACCCGGCTGCAGGAGAATATGCAACTTTGACCTGCACATTTTCGGGGGGGGTGGGGGAGCTGCTTCCCTACTGAATTTTAAACTTTTTTTACACACACACACACACAGAGCATATCCACATAGACCTAGAGATCCAGAGATATAGACACACATACATTATTTATTAATTCGATACGCCACCCATCTCAATGTGTCTCACACACACACACACACACACACACACGCCACATGACCCAATTTATTGGTGTGGGGCAGGAGGACAGAAAACGCCTTGGCTGGAACGCAATGGAGACAGGCACTTAAGGGTCTTAACATTTTAGCACGAGGCATGATCCTTGTGAGGTGGAGAGGTGGCTGTTTCTGGTTGGTTTTCCAGGCACCTCAGGGAAGATTCAAAAAGAGGTGGCTGCGAACTTTATTCCGCTGGGAGTATCCAACCATTGAGGGGACCTTTACGCACATGGTTTAAGCTTCCTCCACCCTCACCCTGTTTTGGTTTAATAGCCGTTGGGTGGTTTAATAGGGTTTTGGGAACATTGATGCCCCATTAAAATGGGAACAGAATGCTGAATTATATACACCCACTTGGAATTATCCTATATAAAGGGTTTCCCGAGCATCGAATGCCGCAGAACCGCTTCTCAGTTACAAGGGAAAGCCGGTGGCAGCCTAGATTGAAACTCCTCCCGTCTCCTCATGAAGTGGGAAGGGCTTTGGACCGGGGTTATGCCAGGTGGTCCAGCACGAAGGCCCTGCGGGTCCAAACTGCATCCTCACCTAAGTCACTCAGGATGCAAAAATGTACCGGCAGATCAGAACAATTCTTGAAAAGGCATGAATGTAATTTCAGGGTGGCTGAATTGGTTGTTCAGGGCTGCTGCTTCTGCAGCTGGGTGAGGAGGCGAAGAGTTGTGTTTGAGCCACTTGGGGACCTCACGCCTGTTCTGTGACCCTGGCAGAGTTTTTACATCTCTCTGGTTCTAGGTTGGATCTCTCCTTGACCGGTTTCCATCCGTTACTTCTTGTCCTGCCCTCGGCTGCTTTGGAGAACGATTCGTCCCCCTCTTCTTTGGGGCAGCCCCTCAGATATTGGGACCAATAAATGGCCTTCTCTTCTTTGGGCTAGGAGAGAACCCGGCTCCCTCAACCCTCCATCCTACGACTTAGGCCCCTGATCAGAGGGGGCCTATTCAGCAGGTTCTGACCGGTTCTGGAGAACCGGAAGCGGAAACCTTGAGGGGTTCGGAGAAGCGGCCAATCCCGCCTCTGACTGGAGGCTTTCCAGTCTCCTTCCCCTGCCACGCCCACCAAGCCACGCCCACAGAGCCGGTGGTAGAAAAATGGGCATCCCACCCCTGGCCCAGATCCTTTATCCCCTTTCCTGCTCCCCTGGCCCACCGCCCCCCCCCTTCTGCTGCTGTCTTAGTTTACCTGGTGGTTTTTCATGCCATGATCCCTGGTGTGACCGGCTGCCAGTTTCCGTGGGTTCGTTTCACGGGGTTCCTGAGCTTTTCGGGTCCCTGCCTGGCTGGCCTTTTTACCTGGAAAGTGCAGCTGCCGGCTGAGCGGCCCGTTTGGGTGGAAGGCTTGTGCCCACTCCGCCTCCAGCCAGGCACTCCTGCCTCCTCCCCACCCGGGAGGCACCTCTTGCCAGGAGGCCGGACCAAGTTCCATAGGTTGATGTGAACGGCAAAACGTGGCTCTTGAGTCACCCTTGGAGAAGGCTGCTCTGGCCTGCCTCGTTGGCTGCCCCGATGCCTCACTGGATTGCTAAGCAACCGCTCTGTGGGGTGTTTCCTAAGTATTTATAATCTCCAGTATCTGATTTATTCCTTTTCCCCTCCCTTGAGAGGAGGAGGAGGAGGAGGAGGAGGAGGAGGGGGAGGAGGAAGAGAGCCGGGGCTTCCACAGCCCCGTTCATGTCATGCTGCTTCCACCCAAGTAATTAACACGGAGACGTTTTCTCCACAGGCTGAATATTGTGGTGATGTGAGAAATGACCCAGAACTCCATTAACCTTGGAGGAGAAGCCGCCAGGCCCCCTCAGAAGCTCCTTTCCACGCATTTTCCACATCTGTGGGTGCAAACTCACCATGACCTCTGCTTTTATTCCGTGACCAAGGGGACGATCCAGCCTTCCTTTTATTATTGCATTTATTTATTTCATTTACCAAATACATTGCCCGCCCACCTTACCACAGGGTAACTCTGGACGCCTTGCAACATTAAAAGATAAAACTCTAGAAATAAACTATGACGAAGCTGTAAAAAAACAACATGCAATACCTAAACAATGGGGAGGGAGGGAAGGAAAGAGGTGGGATCTGGTATTAATCTATCTACCGCCCCCAACGTGAAGGCCTAACCTCCGCCAGAGCCCAGGCTAAATTTAGGCTCGTGGTGCCTTGCAGTTGTGTGAGGAAGGAAAGGTCTGAATTGTTTGCTAGAGAGTCAGAAATGAAGAGAAGCAATACAGCGTTGACCACACGCGTTGAGGGTTTTGTTTGTATAGCGGCCCCTCTCG